CCCTCAAATACACATATATACCAGGGATGTCACTATTATAGAACCAAACAGCAACCAAGATATGTTTCAAATTACTAATTTAGAAATACCGGAATCATCAGCAGACTTAGAAGTGCATGATAGCTTGTATGAAGAAACTCAAGATTCACAGCTAGCAAAGCCTGATGAAAATACTAATTTCCAGAATGATGCAGACCCAAGTAGTTCTTCAGATGAATTTCTTGATACAATTCCAAAAGGTACAACAGACACCGAAATGCCTAGTTTTTTTTACTTTTAAACGAGAAAGGCGACCACCCGATAGGTATGATTGGTTAACCAACATGTATGGTAATGACAATTTAAACATGGATATGGACCAGATATCTCTAGAGGAAGCTATGAGTGGACCAGAATCCAAGGAATGGTGTTCGGCTATCAAGGAAGAACTTAATTAATTAAAAAAAAAAATGATGCATGGGAAGTTGTGGACAAACCAGATAATGGTACAGTAGTACAGTGCAAATGGGATTAAAAAAAAAATACAAAGTGATAACAAAGTGAAATATAGAGCAAGATTAGTATCCAAAGGTTATACACAAAAAGCAGGCATAGACTATAAAGAAACCTTCTCGCCAGTACTTCGTTATTCCACCATAAGACTTTTGTTTGCTTTAAGTATTAAATTTGATCTAGAAATAACTCATCTTGATGTAAGTACAGCGTTTCTCAATGGTTTGCTAGATGAAACAGTTTATATGCATTTACCAATAAATTTTGTTTGTAAAGATAAGATAAGATAAGCAAAACAAAGTGCTTAAGTTAAAAAGGGCTATTTATGGCCTCAAACAGTCAGCACGAGCATGGTATATATGTGTTGATGATCATTTAAAAGAAATAGGTTATGTAAATTCTGAATATGAACCTTGTTTATATTATAAGATAAATGGAAATGTAAAAACTTTCATAGGCTTATTTGTGGATGATTTTTTTGTTTTTTCTAACTGTGAAAGGGAAAAGGATTATCTTAAAAAACATTTAGAATCTAAATTTGAGCTTAAAGATTTAGGAAAGATAAAACAATGTTTAGGTATGAGAATTAAAAAGGAAAATAATGTACTTACTGTTGACCAAGAACATTTTTATTGACTGTTTATTAAAGAAATTTAACATGGAAAATTGTGAACAAATAAAAACACCCATGGAAATAAATTTGAAGCTTGAAAAGAATAATAAAAAATGTGAACCATACCAACAATTGATAGGAAGTTTGTTAAATTTGTCAATATTAACTCGCCCAGATATATCATATGCAGTTTGTTAATAACAATTTTAGTGAAATTCATTTCAAAACGTATTTTAAAATATTTACAATGTTCAAAAAGTTATGGTTTGAAATATGGAAAAGATGATTTAGATTTAACTGGCTATGTAGATGCTGATTGGGAATCAGATTCATTGGACAGAAAATCTTATACAGGATATATATTTAAAATGTCAGGTAGTGTAATTTCATTTGAGTGCAAAAAACAACAAACTATTGCTTTATTTAGCACAGAGGCTGAATATATGGCAATCTGTGAAGCTAGTAAAGAGGCTATTTACTTAAGAAATCTTTTGATTGTATTGCAGTGTAGAAATGATAGTCCAGTATTAATGTACAATGATAATCAAAGTGGTAAAAAATTAAGCGAAAACTGTTTATTTCATAAAAGAAGTAAACACATAGATGTTAAATATCATTTTGTCCGTTCTGTAGTTAACAAAAAGATTATAGAAATTAAATATTTATATACACTAGATATGCCCGCTGACATTCTAACAAAAAGTTTAAGTTCTTGTAAGCACTATAAGTTTATGGACCAAATGGGAATCAAAAAAATTTGAATAGGTAACAATATTTATTAGTTGATATTGATGTATCTCAGAATTATAGGTATATAAATATATGTGTTGTACTTAAGAAATTTTACATTATTTTGTTAAGGGGATGTGTTAGTTATTATAACAAAATAATTGTATAAATAACGCCATCTAGTGGCTGTAATGAAACTGCTTTATGTCCAGAGCTGTTATAATAAAAAAAATAAAAAGTAGTCTATTCCAAATGCGCAACGTGTTTTATTAATATAAAAAGAGAGTTGTTGTATTTTAATTAAATGATATAAAATCATGTCATGCATAAATTATTTTTTTCTGTAAGGACAAAATTTATTCAAGTTGAAGTCACGGTATACATCTTATTACTCTTACGACGCAATTGGTGAAAGTGACACATACTGCATTAACTGCATAAAAAAATTTGCATTGCTTATTTCAAAATAATACGCTCTATATAAATATGAGTATTTTGTAAATATAATTATAACTGTTTTGTTTTGACTGTAAGATAATCTAACGAAAACATTATAACCTCTAAGGTCTAAGTCTAAGGCGCAATCGAAGATAAGAATGTTTTTCTATTTACATAATATCAATAATATTAATATACATAAAACTTTATGTTTTAATGACTTACCAAAATATGGAATTCTCTCGAAATCTGCGAAATATTTCTTCCTTGTCCGCTTAAAATTTATTTTTGATTCTTCTCTTCCCTTGTTAAATTGCGCGCCATTATTTTTGAAATACAACGATTTACCAGTTTAAAAAGCAGAGGTTCCGAAGTGGCAAGAATCGAAGTCAAATAAACAAAGCCGAGGTTTCGGGGAAGCAAGAATCGGAGTCCGGGTAGCATACACAGTCGAAAGATTTACAGTATAATATCACAATTAGATGCGTTGATAATGGGCGAAATGCAAATTGCAACTAAAAACAAACAAACAAAAAAGATGAACACTTTTTTGTACGCATTTGCCTTGCACACGGCACTCAAGGACAGTGGATTGTTATTGGTAGGAGTGCGTGTGTGGGCGGGGCGTAGTAAACACTGCAAGAGACATGTTCATGCAAATATCGATGTGAAGTGAAAGAGCGCAAATGTCCGCCACGGTACGTCTCTGGTAACTATATTTAGAAATAAAAAGCATATTTGATTTTTTCATTAAATTTTACTGTCATTGAGCTCGCTAAAATACTATAACACCTATGTTTTTTTTTCCTCTATATAACTAAAAAAACCATTCTAAAGAAATCGTAATTTTAGAAGTATTTTTATGTCTATCTTCCAAGGATAACCCACAATAACCATTTTTTGCGTTTACTTAAAACAGTAAAATGATGGGTTATTTACGAACCCATTTTTAACAATACAGTATTAATCCTTATTCAAATAAATAAGTTAGATACGTTATGTATGTTATGTAGATTTTCAAAAAAAATAAATGAGTTATCGAAAAATAAAAATCTCCGGGCGAGAAATTAAATATCTATCATAACTTCCAAATTCCAGTTCGACTGCACCAAAATGGACGAGTCTATTTTTTATGTGTTCCACGATTCATGACACGGTTTGTATATAAGATTTTTTTTTAAAAGACGATTTTAAGGCGTTACGAAGTTCGCTGAGTCAGCTAGTAATATATATAGGTATAATTAAGGTTACGTATCTTTCTTAAAGATAGTTTACAAATTCAATCAAAAATTTAATTGGTCGTAGAAGTTTTTTAGGTTATAATATTTTTTCTTTCATTTTTGGGAATTTCATGTGTGTTTATCATCCCATTCATATCCCAGTTAGGAACCTGAAATACACTGAAGTACACTCACTTTACTGTTGTATTTTTTTATTAAAATTAATTTTATACAAAACAGTGATGCCGCCAGCACACGAAAAGCGAATGAAAGATGTTGCTATTGATAACTAGATGGGTGCTGTGTTGCCAACATACTAATCTTTTATTTTGTATCTTTTCAACTCTAAATAATGTATAATGTAAATGGTCAGGTCGTTACGTTTAAACCAATCTATGTTTGAGCGAGGCGATGACTGACCCTATTTATTCTTGTCCATTTTATACTTATGTAGATTAATTTGTTATTTACCGGTGAGCTTGATTGCCTGGCCATTTAAATATATTGACGAGTTTAAGCATATATACTTCATATTCTAATGAAGTTAATTTTCAATCTTGACGTCTCTGTATGACATAGAAAAGGAAGAAAAAAGCAGCCCTTGCAGAGTTTCTTTCTCGGTACAAAGTTTTCCCGCCGTACATTTACGAACTAGATTTATTTATTTTATCTAGAACCGATGGCATAATTTCGGTTTTCATAAGTTGTAACAGCCAAGACTGAATAAGTGATTTGAAATGAGTACATAGTTAATAATATAAATCTCTTCGGATAAAACATCTCATATAATTATAGTCAAACATCACTTGAAGTAAGTTCGGTTAACCATTAATAATAATAGCAAACTTAAAGTTTTTGATATATGATAAAAACTCTTGTTGAGTTACATACTTTTGTCAAACCGAGTACTGGTTTTAGGTTTTCGCAAGTTTGGAACTGGTACCAACAGTGGTTTTAAATAATAATTATTAATAATGTAATAAGCAAATTTCAAACAACACTGGAATCCCACCAAAGACATTTTCATATATAATGTTGACAAGCGACACCACAAGGCTCGCACTATCAAAATGTTTTCAGATCTTATGTAGAGCTAAGCTTGTAACTCTATATGAACTATAGGTCCTCTACTACTAGGTAACCGAATCAAAATATATGGCTTGGCCAAATCGTTACTACAATAACTTAGTACAAATAATTAAAAAAATAATGAACAATAGAGTAGGAACGCTACGCCTATAAAACGTTAGTAAAACAGCCAAAACAAAGGTGTAACTTAGTTATTCATATATAAAATTAGTAGAATTTATCATTTTTCAGAACTTGTTTCATAAAAATAATAATTTGAATGCGAACTAATGCCCCAAAGATACAAAAGCCTGTTCTTGCGAAGTCTAACGGTTCTTATTGCTCATATTTCGCGTTCGTCCATTAGTTGCTAGGACGCCAACCTGTACAAATATCTTATAAGTTTCAATTTATTTAATTAATTTGAAACTCCGTGAGCCATGCGTTATATTACAATAGTGTACGTATTTTCTATAATTATTAGTGTTGCTCACTTTAAAGTTTTTCGGAAGTGTTGTACAAAAAATCAAAGTCTTATAAAAGTATCAAGATTAGATAAGAACTCGCGGGACAAATATGAATGTATTGACTACGATCGTCATTTAAGTGAATACAAAGAAGCTAGTCTGAATTCAGATCTTGTGGTGAACCAAAATGTAATCATAGACAATGGTATACCTCAAAAATGCAACTTGAGTGCTATCGAGCTGTATGGACAATTAAATGCATCGACGGACAGAGATATTTGTTATGATAGAATTATAACAGAAATCAATAATGGTATGATTATACAAGCAGCTAAACAAAGCATTATAATGTTGAAATGTGATGGATCAAATCTCACGTCTCGAAATAAGTTAAAACTACAAGGTATCGTCAAATGTTGTCCAAGGGACCAAGTTTATGATAGCGAATATCATTTATGTAGAAAAAGACATGAATTTAAAGAAGAGTGGCTCATAAGTCAATTAACGCTAAATATCTGTGATATTTTCTTTATTGAAAATAAGATGGATGATTGTGATCTGGGAGAGTATTCTGTAGAAATAAAGGAAGGCGTTTATAGACTTGCTTTAATTAATAAGGTGCTTGAAATTACTAAAGAAAATGGAGATGAATATTACATAAAGTCGGGGAGTTGGTGTGTAGATCAGGATTATATGAGCCGGCGGCTATTAGCAAAAGTCTGTATCCTTGATTGCAGTGAATTTGATGCTTATTGTATGAGAAAGTGTTGTCCCATAGGAGAGCATATTTCAAGATATGGTACTAGAAACTTTTCTTGTGCGCAGAATTCAGATGATAGATTCTTATTTAACCTATCATCATACATAGAACCTTTAAGAAGAAAGAAAGGTGATATAGGGGGTAAATATTAATGTTTTCCTTTTTTTTTTATTGCAATCTTGATATATAGAGATTAAACATCCTAAGTTTTCATATTATTAAATACGTTTTTATTTATAATATATCTTAACAAATATTGATTCAGGAGTCTGGAAAGTCGCGATACCTCTTTTTTATATTTCCATGTATTTATTTAAGAAACAGCAATCCAATTAGTATTATAAAAATATAGTTTATTTTTAAGTTTTGAATCAGATCTTGGATCAGTTTTAGACAAAGAATGATAAATTGAAGGCTAAGTGCTTTAAGTTTATTACTCTAAGCATAAGTGCCAAAACGAAATACCCACGGTAATACGGACCATGTCTAATCCGAAATGCCCGTGACTCTTGGTTGAATATAAAAAAAAAAGAACCCAAATCTTTATAGTTCTCATAAAAGTGATTTGTCTGAACATAATTATTTCCTCATTTGAATAAGTTATTATTTTTGTTAGTTCATTATGATATTTACAATTAAAGTATCATGTCATTATAATATTCTATAGTGTCTGTTATATGGTTCATTGCTGTTACTTGTCCATTATTATAATCCTAAAGATATAACTATACTACGGCTATTTCTATCTTACTGCGACACATACATTAGTCGGCAAATTGCATCAAATGGCTCAAATGGTGGTATCAGCTTAACGATGACGGTAGATATTCAGATATAATTTAAACGCGTACCATCAGCTCACTAAATGCCTGTAACCTGTCGAGGTTCCAATAATTCCTGACCTAGTGATCACGGAACCTGCAGAGGATACAAAACGGCTACATAGTAAATACATCTGTCAATTAAACGTTCTTGAAATAGTTCAATATTTATAGATGTGATGGGTATCCGAGCATCATTAGAATGTAGCGATGAAAGCGCTCAGCTACAGATATATAACTCTTCATGGATAGCGGACCAGCACTCCCTCGATATGAACGGGTGGCTTCGATCACGTGATGTCTTAACTGATGAATACTGCTTGGATTCCTTTAAAACTAGTACCGGAAAAACTGAAGTAATGGCGATTACGTGTGTTACATTTGCGGACTACAATCTTACGGTGAGTAATTAACCAGGATAAAGTTAATAAATAAGCAATATGCCTTCTGTTAGCTTTGAGAAGGGCCGTGCGACAATGATCGATCTTGGGTGGCGAGATGTGCGCCTGCGCCCTCTTCCTATTGGTCCGACTTAATGGGATGAGGGTAACACGCCAATCCTACAGTGGTTTTGCGCCGTCAGCGAAAACAAACATTTATTAAAAACAAAAGATCACTGTGTATAGCACATACAGAATAATAAAATATCTTATTACTATAACTATATATTACATACAACTAAACATAAATTTAAAAGGCGGGCAGATTGTAATATCGTAGGCAACAGCTTGGAAAACAATCTATCTATCTGTATCTCTATCTATATGTTCACGCCGTAGCCCTTGCGGGGTTGGAAAACAATATGGCAGGCAAAGACGTTATGGAATGCAAAAATTATAGAATATGTATTCTGTTGTTTGACATGTTCTTCCATTCAATGCTAGGTTGTTTGAAAGAAATCGCTGGCTATCGCTAAATTTGTCTTAAGTACATAGTTATGAATGCTCTCGACAATGTTCTACAGGGGTTTGATAGTAATAATTTAAAGTTTAATTTAAATAAAACGAAATGCATAATCTCAAGATATATAAAATATCAAGATATATTTATTCTACAAAAGAGAGCTGTCCGCGTTATATATAATTAACGGTCTAGAGAATCTCTCAGAGTAATATTTAAAGAAAAAAATTATTTGACTGTTGCCTCTCAATACATCTATGAAAATATTATGTACGCAAGAAAACATTACGATTCCTTCACAAAAAAAAGTAGTGTTCTTAATATTAAGACAAGAAATAAACATAAACGTGCCGTTCCAAGCTTCAGACTTCAGAAAACCGAAGGATCATTTCTGGGTAAATGCCTTGCAATATTCAATAAAGTTCCACAAAATGTAATTGACCTACCCATAAATAAATTTAAAATTCATGTAAAGAACATACATACTTATGAGTAAAGGCTATTATAAAGTTGATGATTATTTTAAGGATCGCAATGCATGGAATTAATAGCCTCCGCTTTGTTCTATAAAGACTAATTATATGTTCAAACTATGTCCTACAGACTTTGGAAGTTGTATTTATTATTGTGATTTGTGATAATACATATTATTTTGGTAATGACATGATTTATGTAAATGTCATTACTTATGATAAAGAGCTGGTAAGTTTCTTTCGCTTGTTCTTCTTGTCAGCTAAAAGACGTCCTGAACAAGTGGTAGGGGAAAAAAATTTTTTTTGGACGATCAAAAGTGCTTGTAATAGCCTACTTGAATAAAGATATTTTTATTTCATTTCATTTCGTTCCACTTCGATTCATTTCGTTTCACTTCGTTTCACTTCGCTTCACTTCGTTTAATTTCGTTTCATTTCATTTCATTGAATGTTATGTATAAAAAAATATATATGTATGTTCGTGTCATTTTCGTGTTGTGCAATAAAGACTTTATTTACTTAACCGCATCGTACACCAATTGCGCTAACCTCTTATCTTAAAAAGAGGAAATATTCATTGTTTTTTTGTATCGAAATGGATCTGAAACCGATTTTAAAAATTCTTTCATCTACGGGAAGCATAGTTAACAGTTAATTAAATAGGTACGCTTGCGGGGTACAGGCAGGTTGAAGGCAACACCGATTGGCAATAATCGAGACTACTTTCTCGTTCTCTATACTGCAAAGTCCGAGCTCTTTTAGAGCTCGACCGCATTTTTCTACCAAAGGAAGTTTCCCACTCAAACAATATTGCAAATGTTACGATCAGCAGTTGGATGTGATAAGTTATCTTCAGGAGTTTTCTGAGGTCAAAAGCTTGCTGTATGAGAACTCAAATATTTTCCCTAACAATTAATGCTCCAGATTCAACTTGATAGTGCATGAGCGTCGCGGTGGACATTTAAATACGCTTCGCGCCCGTCAAGTATCTCCTGTTCAGTACGGTGTCAGGAACTAGGAATGTATAACTGTAGTCACGAATAAATCAAATAAGCATTGCTTGATTATTAAAAACATGCCATTTATTTCGTCGCCATTTTCACACACACTGACCCAGATGAACACAGACCAAACATAAGAAATCGGACACGGAACTCAGAGTTACACATTAAAAATCTCAGTTAAAAATCATAGACGAATCGATGCATTCATGTTCAATAATTAACATCTCCTGTAACCGAGCGCTTCCTGTCCAAACTCTCTAAGATCTCAAGCGACTTTGTTTGTCAAAATTCTTAGGGTCGACAGACATGCCGCCACGTATTTTACGTCAGACATGTGCGTATTAATTGTCGCAGAACGTCAGAAAACTAAAAAAATTATTATATTAAATTCGACCTTGCACACTCGACGGAAATCGCGTATTAATACCTATATACTTCTATGAGGTGCTTGACTAAGCTCCATCATTTTTGCAACGACCCTCCTACTTATTACATGAGCCTCATGACCGGTGAATAAACTTGTGTTTCTCTCCAGTGAAGACTGCAAATACCAACTACAAAATAAAGCGATTTGAATGTAAAAAAAAAAAACAGAAAGAGTAACATAAGATTATTAAAAGGAAAAAAATGATATAACTTGAGTTGTCTTCACTCATTCGAGAACGGTGTAAACCCAGTTTGGATTCATGCTGAGCCAGAGTTTCTGTAAGGCGTAAACCTGGCCTAAAAATTTTCTACGTCTCGCTGCAGGATCCTCTTAAAAATCTCATCCTTTTAGCAGTTTTGCAGGTTTGACCTTTTTTCAAGGCATTCTTATAATTTATGCACATTTTTGGCAAAATTATCTGCTGAGACGTGAACTTAACTTTTTTAACGTCGAGGGAATGCTTCTGGCTCTGTTTCTGTTACCCGGCAAACAACAGGGAGTAAGTAGGACTCTTCTCCATGAACGCACCCGGCCGCAGCCGAGCCACCAGGACACTCAAGTATTGGACTATTGGTCCCATCGCAGATGGAGAGGCTCGGGTCCATCGGGAGCATAATTTCTAAAACGCAGCATAGACGTTTACTATTACATTGTCGTGATACAGTAGGAAACCGAGCCTTGAACACAATAATAATATTGAATAAAATTTGTTATGGATTGGACTCCCGTCGAACAACATATTGTTCTAAAACAATGTAATAAATCGTGTTGATACAAAATAAACTAAGTGTTAATTAAAATAAGTTTTTTGAAAAAGTGGGATTCCAGTGAGTTTTTCGCCGTTTCCGCTGGCGGAGTCGTGCAAAAATAAAGTGGCTAAAAGTTATCAAGTGCCAATCCAGCTCAGGAGTGTAGTTATTATTTACACTTCGTCAAACTCCCCGTTTCCTGTAGTTGTATCGCGACAGTAAGCCTTGCTTTGTGTAAGCCTGTCCAACAGCTTTTAGAAGTGCTGCTGCCACCTTTGGTGAGCCGCCCTCGTCGTCGCCGCTGAAGTGACGCCTTACAAGCTGCCAAGAGTCAGCGTCATCCCGCCGCCGTGCTGTCGGGTCATATTGGCATTAGCCACTCCGTTCCTATTGTTCTTGAAGCTGTCGGTTGCGTTTCTCAAACGCGCCGTCTCTCTTGATTCTGTAAACAAGATATCTCGAAATGAAGAACTTGAGGTCGATCTTCGTTATCCTGTCGATCCTGTAAGTGAAACATATTATTACTGTTGAAACATATTGCTATAATTTTATAATTGAGTAGTCGATTGATATATTATACTTACCAATTCCTATATTCTAAATCCTAACATATCTATATAATTACCTATTCAATACCTAAATATTTTATACTTAATATCACTTATCTAAATATTATCCTTATAAGTTGTGTTATCTTAAAAGATTCTTATTAGGGAGAAATTATCCTTTAAATCTACTTTCTTAATCTTTCAGGTAAAAAGCAAAATACACAAAATAATGTTTTAAAAAACTTTATTTTATCTCTCAGAGGGTAGGTTCAGATTCGCTCGCTATAGTTCTGGTTCCTGAATTAAGACGACTTAGCTTTACAGTATAATTATGGTATTTAGTGTCGAATTCGCGGGGTCAGTGTTAACCCGACGTTAACTCCGGTCAGCGGCACTGATGATCCACGAAGACTCCACAGGCACAACGCAGAGCAGCCTAGGTCAGGAGGACTCCAGGGAAAGAACCCTGTTATCATAAACACCGCACTGAATAGAACTTTAATAAGTGCGGCTACCTGTGGCCTGGAACAATTAAGATAGCTGCAGTTGCTATAGCTTCTATAAAATCTACCCGAAAAAAAATATAAAAATACGTGTTTCAAATAAAATTAAAAGTTATTAAGAATGAAGTTAAAATAAAAGGTGCTATGATAATACATACAAATACTATTATATCAAAATACACGGGAATCGAACCAGTAGTTCAAGTAAAATTAAAGCACTAAGTGTTCCATTTAAAATCGTTTTAATTTCAAGGTTATCAAATATTATTTATAGCACAATCCGGGATTCGAACCTGAGATGGAAATAAAATCACGAATTTAAACTAAAATAACTAGCATTCGGACAATGTATATGTCGTAAAGTCATGCGGGGCCGGCGGAAAGTTAGGTTGATCAACATTTGCCATCTGACTAGTGTTCGAGATATTCCTTCGAAATAAGATCGCAGATGGATCACAAATCAGTTATTTAATTGAATTACTAAGTTATCTAATCAGAATACATTAATAATAACGCGATGCAAACGGATTGCGATACGAAACGCGGAGAGTTCTGCGCTTGCGTCCGCTCAATATGGCCGCACAACGTAAAGTGCCATCTTCGAACAAGCATAGACCACTCCCAAGCGATGACAGCCGTCAATGTCATAACTTGACGTTTCGCAAAGCACCATAGATCTTGACAGATGACAGCTGAAGGTGACAGATGGCGTTTCGCACAATCGAAGCGCCTTCTCGCCGACATATAGATTATATTTTATTTTTAGCAGACAAAATTACGAGTAAATATGAAATCTGTAAGCTACAAAAATAATAAAATGTTAATTTTACACATAGTCTCAGAACTCCGTTTTGTTTCAATATATTGTTTTATGAATGTCATTACCTTAAGTATAGCAAAAATTCTATTTCCTTAAACTTCTACTTCACCTTTATTGCAATAGAATAAAATATTTTAGCACATTTGGTTAAGAATCAGATCTTCAACTCGGAATTAAATGTTCAATGAAAACATTAAATATTATAAAGCAACGAAATAGTTTGAGAATTCAAGGTTACTTATTAGACTTGTGATTTTAAAAATAAAATACTTCAAGGTAATAACTTGAAAGCGAGCAATAAAAACTAAAGAAATTAAAACACTCACCCGATTTGGGGGTTATTGAGCATAAAGGGTTTAGCCGGATACGTATGATGAGTCGGCCCCCAAATGGGAATCGATATTGAAACTTATGTTTTAATATCGACTTGATGTTCAAACACGATTTATGTACTTTTCGCGACCGACTTCCGCTTTGACCTTGAGATAGAGAGCAAAATATCCGTATGCTTGACTATTACTGAATGTGATATATCTCTAAAGCTAATTAAGATAAAGAAGTGAAACTAACGCGAGGTGTTAGGTTACATTACAGAGTATATCACATATATTTTTTTATAATTTTTAGAATAAAAAATTACATTAAAAAAATAAAAAATAAAAAAATCATGTTTTTTTTCTGAGTTCTCTGTGACTTACAATCACGAAATTAATATATGTTATGCTCCTTTGTGTGCTCTATTACCTATAAAAATTGCGTGAAAAAAAAGTTGGTGCAACACAACGAAAAAAAATTATATGTGATTTCTGTCTTATGGTATACCCCTGTATTACAAGGTTTTCACATTACATCATTGTTTTTTTTTCGAAATTTCACATCAGCTTGTTTTAAAACATAAGTAACTAGTCTTAAGAGATGGGATAATAGTTAAAAAAGATATAAAAAAAAAAAACAGCCAGTGTTCAATACTTATTATTATTTTTTCGTGTCTATCAAAATACAAGAAACAAAATATTAATCATCGTCACTGTTGTAATTAATTACAATCGGAACACTTTGAGTCGCAAATAACTTAGTTAGGACCTCAGCAGGACGTACGATTTTGGACAAATATCATCCATATGATAGATAATAAATAATAGCTGCTACATGAGAACAGCATCCCACTGTACGTTTGCCTTTGGGGCAATCACAGCAACAACGAAGAATACTATTGTAGTCATTACCTTCGGAAATATAGTGAATGTAAATTCGATAGACTTTTCTATTTATATGTCTTGATTTTAATTCTGCTTTGATGATATTAGGTGCTGATTTCACATATTGTACTGAGAGATTATTTTGATCGTCCATTATTTCGGCCAAGTTAAATGCTGCACATTTAGAAGTAGAAGCTTTTTTGTTAATATATGGGATAAGTCGACACTTCTTACAAAAAATATCATTAACTATTACGATTTTATTCAAAAAGTCACTAAACACTTTAGCTTCTTCTTCATTCTTTATAATTTTTTTATAACCAGGAATCTTACATAGGTACTTGTTACAATTTTTACACTTTCTCGACATTATTACTTAATAATGATTTGGTTCGATAGTTAATAATTTCAAAATACTGATACAAAATACCTATGACAGAATTTGAGTCCCAAACTGCCTTCTTGTGATTACACAGAAGGCAGTTTGGGACTCAAATTCTCGAGCTGTTCTCGAGCTGTTTACTGCATCGTTTGTTTAGCTGCTACTTTAGCTAAACAAACGATGCAGTAAACAGCTCGATAACAAGTTCGAACTTGTTTGTTTATACACTCACACTACAAGGCGCGAATCACATATAATTTTTTTTCGTTGTGTTGCACCAACTTTTTTTTCACGCAATTTTTATGGGTGATAGAGCACACAAAGGAGCATAACATATATTAATTTCGTGATTGTAAGTCACAGAGAACTCAGAATAAAAAAAAAATGTTTTTTTTTATTTTTATTTTTTTAATGTAATTTTTTATTCTTAAAATTATAAAAAAATATATGTGATATACTCTGTAATGTAACCTAACACCTCGCGTTAGTTTCACTTCTTTATCTTAATTAGCTTCAGAGATATATCACATTTAGTAATAGTCAAGCATACGGATATTTTGCTCTCTATTTCAAGGTCAAAGCGGAAGTCGGTCGCGAAAAGTACATAAATCGTGTTTGAACATCAAGTCTATATTAAAACATAAGTTTCAATATCGATTCCCATTTGGGGGCCGACTCGTCATACGTATCCGGCTAAACCCTTTACAAATATTTCAAAATCACTTAAAAAATTAATGTAATGCTGCGCGAGAAGTCATTTATATACTATTTCACCACTATGAGCCGCGCTACGCTCCCATGTCTGCCTATCTCCATAGTGCGATTGTTACTAAAGTGCCTACAATAATTTTTATTGTATTTTACTTTAAATTATTTGTATCAAAAAGTAAGCGCTGCGCTCCCATGTCTGCCTACCTCCATAGTGCAATTGTTACTAAAGTACCTAAAATCATTTTTATTGATTGTTATACTTTAAATTAATTTATATCAAAAAGTAAAAAGGAATTAGGCACATCAGCTAAACATGCGAAAGAGAGACAGTTTATTTAGTAAACTGTTACACTGATTCTCAAAAATCAGCGTATACTAATTATGTTAGTAACCAATCTAATTACCAATGTATTGCAAAAACAAAGGCCATAACATTTCGCAATGTTGCAAAAGAAAATATAATATTGAAATTCGTAAACCGCAAAATAATAGTCTCCATAATGATTACACAAAGTCGATGAACGTAAATCATATAACATACGAGTCGCCACAGTTATCGATTTCGAAGGCGACACAGTCTCATATTCCGTGCGAAAACATCGGCGAATCTTTAAGCGATTTAAACTAAATCGTCGGATTACAAATAAGTGCCGTCGTTTTCCGCGTTACTTAACACGTACATTTTTACAAACTGTAACTTTAATAATACATCTCAGTACAATAATAAACCTCAACATGGTCGCAGCTAGTTCCAATTTGGTTGAGTCTTCCTAATCGTCAGAGTCTACAATAATTCAAGCGAAATCTTTACCTACTCACTCTGAGAATAAAATTGATATAGACGTTAATATCACTATTTACGAGATAGAAGACGATCTTCTAAGAAAATACCTTTACCTCATGTTGTGTCATGTAGCTGGCAATGAAAGAGAGAGAGGGGAGACACACAACAAGATGGCGTAGTTAAGGAGTTTTTAGAGTATAAGAAGAAAAGTTGTAAAAGCTATAAATACAAAGTTATAATAATAAAACTAAAAGTAGTTTCACTCATAGTACATGGTGGCAGCAATGGGCACAGAAGAAGAAGAAACCATGGCGCAACAAATCTTTAACATTTGTTCGACTGCACAAGTGACGCCGCC